ATGTGCGTACATGTATCACACATATTCCCGATTTCTTCTGCCAGTGCAGCGAGCCTCTTTGATAGTGCTACTGAAATTTTACTATGGTGGTAAAACATTCGTCTGAAGCATGAGTCACGGAATGATGATTGCCAACTACTTCGGTAATCAGTTGATGGTTGGTCCTGATCAGTTGCCTAATGAAGGCTTAAATCATTATACCGGTGCCAGTTTCATATGATGCGATTTGTGCCGTGAAAACAGAATTGTCACGTGCACATTTTCTAAGAAGCTTAGGTTTCATTTTGCCTGTTTTCCAAGCAGATCATCTGAGCCGCTCGATTACCGGTTGTCATCCTCAAATGGCACTGAGTATCTGACCCACCTAGGGCATAGATACACCAATCCATTCTAGCTGTTACACTGCCCGGATAGACGAGAAGTCCCGAGGATTGAAGATTGTACATCTCGATAGATTATTTCTTCTCTGCGAGGTTCTTTTCAGGACAAAGGTAAAAGTTGCAAAAAGAGGATTTCTCTAAGCTGATCATCTTGACTGTCTAAACCTCAGATCAATGGTCAAGTTTCTATTCTTGACCAAATTTTAACGAGCTCTAACATATGAGTGTGCTTTTTTAACTTTGTTATCATATCATGACTCAGTAATATAGAATGTTGATTTCTTCTAAGCCATCTCCTGGAACTTGGTGTATCGGGTTCCTCCAAGCAGAGCATTGACTACTGAGCTGCTTTACTCACCGGTGAGGGCGGTATAACTATTTTCTCACTTCTGATTATAGTCAAGTGGGGGTGCTTTCAGAAATCAGTACAGGGCAGCGGTTAGCAATGTTTCTCAATCAGGATGCTTCAGTGTCATCTCTTTCTTCCATTTCCTCCTGACAACTGGCGACGGGAGCAAGTATTTTCGTACAGAACCCGTATCTTATTGAGTGTGGTATATCTTGAGCACCTCCGTGAACTCCTTCACATATCGAGTCCGAATCAAATAATGAAAGAAACCAACACGACATTCTTACTGTGCGAGAGAATCGTGCACAACTGAGTAATAAGCCAGCACACCATACTGTTAGGGCTGTGACCTGATCAGAAGCATTCCAAACATTGTTATATTAGGGGCAGCAGAGGATTTAGTTCGACTGTGTAGTGAGTTCTGAGGTTGGGTGCTCGTGAAGTTAGGTTGTGCTACATCATGTGTAGGCACTGGTGAACAGCTTGATTCGCTGCCCGGCGGTAAAGTGAGTATGCTTGAGTTCCACCTACAGTTCGATAGATGAGCTGGCATTGCCGAGTTATAAAGGACCACGCATACAACAGAATAACAATATTGACGTCATAATTTGCTAACTTTTCCCCCGTAAGGCAGACCCTCATTTAGATTCTGTTTTTCACTTTTTCAGCAGATAACCCCAGCGATCGCGGCGGCAGCTGCGGCTAGCATGGGTCCGAACAGTCTACTGGCTGGACAAGGCGAACAGGAGAAGGTTGCACTTATCATGCAAGTGTTACAGTTGTCCGACGAGCAGTTGGCCATGCTTCCAGATGATCAACGTCGCAGCATAATGATCTTAAAGGAGCAGCTGGGAAAAACTGGTGCAATCTGATTACGGAAATACGACCAGGCGTTTTTTGCTGCTGAAAAGTCAATACAAAATGTCGTTTCTTCATTGGTTTTATTGTCAAGAATCTATTTATGTCGTCTGAATACCGTGACAAGCACGGCAGAAGTGTAATGAGTTAGAGTCTGTTTTGAATAGCATTGCGGTTACTGGGCGAAGTTCGTGAGCTCATATATTTACAGCGACCCAGAGCTTTGCACAGTCGCCAATCACAATTGAGTGTATATTTTTTTCACGACATGAATGAGTTTTCAGATGAAGTTGGAGGCAAAGAGAAAGGGACGGAAACGTTCACGCCGGACCAACTGACAATGAGCGTCTCTTGGCAAGCAGTAAAGTCGAGAATAACCATTGGTCTCAGCGATTGGAATTGGCAATCCGGGGAAGATGATAACACAGTTAAGCCAGGTAGTTATATTGGTTGGCGTTTTCCGGACTGCGTTCCAAATAGTCTTGCTCGATTAGATTCTCGATGCACTGCTTGATCAGTGCGGTTGATGCATGAAATCGACCGCTTGCCTGCTGCACCACTTCAGCCAGTAATGAAGTGTGGTCCATTTGCTTGCGCGATTTCATGATGCGCACAACTGCAGCCTTGATGAAGTATCGTCGATCGTCGGTGACTTGCTGCTCCACTTTGTGCGCCTCAGTCTGCCAAAGGAAGAAAAGGGGATGAAGTTATCTATGACGTAAATCTACCAAAAATGCGTTATGAAGACGCTACTATCGCTGCTTTTCCTGGAATACACAGCACATCTATAAAAGACAATCATTGTGCAAAAAATGTCAAGTGAACGACCGAATATCTCAAGGGGGAGTGGGAATTTGTTTTTACAACACAATATCCCATCGGTGAACAGATAACACACCCCCAGACGTTTTTATTATCACGATATTTGGACAGAATGGTTCTTTTAGGAAACCGAGCGCAGGGCGTATGAGCCATTTTCATGACGACAGTGCCTGATTGTAGGAAATGTATGTAGCATTTTGTCAAACCGTTATAACTGCGCCATCGAACTAACAAATCACTTACCTGGATGGCTTCTTTAGTATGGTTTGTGGCGGTCACACGAATTTTGAGGCGTTTGTTCTTGAAATCGTTGTTCAAGACCACCCAAGTATCAGGCTAAATGAAACAGGAACAAGGCAATGTGATACAGCATTAGCATATAACATTCAAGTTGAGCATATTTATCACACTTTTGTGATGTACCACAAATAAGGACCTGCTAATCACTCATAGGAACCGGCTACTTAAGTCCCAGGACTTGGGGTGGCGAACCACACAAGGCAATAATAGTCCAGGCGTGGTATCGAACTGGACGACAGCAAGTCTACCTACCACCAAAGTTTCGTCATGGGGTTTGACCCAAGGCTCCACAGCGCGTCGAAGCTAGTAACTTGAAACCTTTGATCATTACTTGTTATGATAGGCCCCAAGCATCGATGGAGTGGTTAGTACACCCTATTTGACAACTTACGAGTTACGGTAAGATCCTTCTATCCAATTTCTACCAACCAGATATGGTTGAACTGGTGAAACGATCACTAATCCATATGAATTACGACAGTGACAATGGAGTGTGGAAAAATTATGACCATATATATAAGGTTAAGCAACTGCACAAGAAGGAGAGACAAATGCCAATTCGGCCACAAGTAATCAACAAACTCACTCCAAGCTGAACCGAGTCCAACGTGTTTCCGATCTGACCATCGTATTCTAAATAGATCAACTTAAGTTCTAGCAGTGGGACTAGAAGCCGTTGGATGAAGTCTTGAACAGGTACGGCTTCACCACCCTCTGCGGTCGAAGTGTCCATTGTATTTGAACGGTTGGGTATGCTTTCGGAGGGCAGACCGACTAGGGCGGGCTGATCGGCGGATGATTCGCTGGTTGTGGGACCAGTCACATTCACATGACCATAGAGATCACGCAGCGGAATACGATCGGAGTCAATGGAATTGAACTGGAGCAAGATAGTGGCATGCATGACCGGTGTATAGATTTGATATGTTTTGTTCAAATAAAGCAAAGCTAATTCAACCGTAGAAAACTGATGTGCCCAACGCATCTTGCGTCCTTGGTACCGATTTGAGTAGAAATTCTCAAAATGCGAGGTACATTGTTGCAATTCGATGGGTAGGTTGAACTCTGTGTTGTTAGATGGACTGATGGGCCAGGAGCATTGCTGTTTGAACGAGGGATAAGAGAGAAAGTAAAGAACGCATTCTCGGATAGGTCACGACGGTCGGAAGATTACTGACGTGTGTCACTGGGCGCTTC